ATCATGCTTTTTTTAGAACAACACCGGTGCACCAAAGGATGCCTTAGACGATCGGACATACCCTACATCCAAGAGCTCTTTTAACTATTTGGGAAACTCCTCTAACTTAGGTGGAGCCATTCGTTAAGGTACTTTAGCGGGCGGCTCCACATCTGACACAAGCTCAATCTTGTGATTCACCTCCCTCTTAGGTGGCAAGCGTTTTGGCAACTCTATTGGCATAACATCCATAAACTTTGCCAATACTTGTCCCACTTCATTCAGGACTTTCTCGGTCATTATGGGCTCATCTCCCACCAACATCGCCAAGTATGTGGGTTTCTCCCTGCACACCCCTTTGAGAACTAAATCACGAAAAACATCTTTTCCCCAACTCTAGCCTCTCGGTTCACATGAACAATGCTTTTGTTGTTCGGGTCAAGAATGCACAAACAATTTACACATGGTGCCACGAATGCACTAATACAGTCAAGAAAACTAATCCCAAGCACAAATTCAAAGTCATTGAGTGTGATTACCTTAATACTTTCTTTACTGGTCCAACCCCCAATGTCGAGCTCTACTCATTTTGTTATCCCCACAATCAGAGCTTCCTTGAAATTGACAGTCTTAATAAATCCACTTGTCTTCTCCACTAGAAGGTCAAGTCTTTAACAACCTGTTTAGGCATGAACAAATCTGAGGCACCTGTATCAACTAATGCACTTATCTTATAGCTGGCCACGGTGATGTCCACGAACATCAACCCCTTCTTTCTACAACCCTTCTTGACTTCCATGGAACTTAGAATGGAGTCAAGCTTCAAGGTCTCCTTCTCTTCCCCCATCATACTCCTTGATGGAAGCAACCATCACACGTTGAGGGCAATCCCTCTTTATGTGATTTCCTCCACAATTGAAGCATGCCAAGTCATCTAACTTGTTACCCTTCTTACCTTGGTTGTTTGATCTCCCATTACTTCCTGATGGCTTGTTGGATCATCCCTTAGCCTTTCTCTTCCCCACCATTGCCCTTGTATTTTGGCTTTGGTTTTGTAAGAGTCGGTCTTCTTAACTTCAAACAGGGCCAAAGATAGCCACATCTATAGCCTCAAATAGTTCATTCACACCTCTTCGTTGGATCTCAAACTTCACCCACTGTTGTAGCCCATCAATGAAAGCAAAATAGCCCTCCAAATCTCCCAAGTCTGGAATCTGCAACTGAATCTTAGTGAAGTTCTTTATGTACTCCAAGAGAGAATGACCATGCTTTAACTGCTTCAACTTTGCTTGACCTCGAGATGACCATTCCTTGGGTAGAAATGCTCTTTGAGTTCTCCTATGAATTCTTCCCATGTCCCGACCAGAAGAGACTTATCTGTCACCTCGGAACACTTACGTCGCCACCATAAATTAGCAAGATCAGTAAGATAATTGGAAACAATATTTACCTTGGTGGTCTCATCCTCAATGACACTACCTTGGAAGAATTGCTCTATGCTCTAGACAAAATTGTCAAAATTCTGGGCAACTCGACTTCTATTGAACATATTCGGCTTAGGGACGTCGATCCTAGGCCTAAATGCTTCCCCTAGTGCCCCATTATACACGACAACCTTGTAGACCAACAACTCACTCTTGACCTCCTTCAACTCCTTCATCAGCTCCACCCTCATCATATGATACAAGTTTTCCAGTCCACTGATCTGCTCGTCCAACTCCTTGGACAAATAAATGATCTGCTCCTGGAAACCCTTGACCCCTCCTCGAGTTCCAGCACACCTGGCGAGTTCAGTTGAATCATGGGTCTCTTTAATCTTGTTGTATAGGTCTTCAAGCCTACCAACCTTTTTTTAACGGATGCCACCATATGCTTCGAACTAGCTCATTTTTTCACCACAACTGTACAGATCTCAACACCGTCAGTAACAACTAGGACCTCGTATTGGTTTTGTGATGTTATATCGTCGAAAAACATGGGCTTTAATACCACTTATCATGCCCTTGAAACTTCAAATGCCTCGAACACGCGACCTTAGTCGCTCCTTCAAGGAATGCGGCTAAGTCGGCCTAAAAACAATCCAAGCAGAGATGCTTAGATTAGCAACAGAAGCAAAAGAACTTTGAAAGAGAAAGCAAGCACAATAACAAGACAATAGAATTTGAGAGAATGCTCTGTGATTTCTCGAAATGAAAAAATGAGTACAAATGAGGAGGAGATGCCTCAATTTATAGTAGAGGCTCTCATCAATGAACAACTAAGATCTAAGTACATCGACGAACAAGATCGAAAAAATCCCCCAATCTAAGGAATCATAATTACAAGATCTCTCTAACTAAAGAAACTATACAATGCCCTTAATAACTTGCCTTAAAAAGAATATTATAAAGATTATAGAGGGAATCAAGGTGATCACGCATTAACCAACTAATTAACTTGTCATAAATGTGCAAGGCTCTTCATCTCAACGAAATGGGCCAGTCTGGAAGGATCTGGCAAGTCCCAAAATGCCACCTAGGTTGTCATGGGCTCATTCTTGCATTATGATCTCAGTCATGAGTTCGCGGTATGTGACAAAAACATCATTTAATTGAGAACCCATTTTTGTATTTTATCCCAAAAATTATTAATGAAACAATAAAATTTATAATTATTTTTTCTATTTTAAATCTTAATTATTAGATTAACAAATTTTATATCCACATTCATTTCTATATTTCGTGCTAAACAAGACTTTATTATTACATTTATGTCCTCGTAATTTTTGAGCTTCAGACCATTAGGCCCCGTTTGGTTCACAGTATATTTCATTCCTGGAAGGAATGTTGTTTTCCCGGATGAATATACCCATGTTTGGATGGGCTATATTACCAAGTTCCCGTAAAAAATTAATACCAACAGTGATTTTTTTACTGCTTTCCCGGGAATGTCTATCCCCCATCTCCCTTAGGTATTTGCTTATTCACGTCCCCGTTATCTAAAATAGCCTTTTTCCCTCACTTCGTTCTACTGAAATCTTCTTCTTCTTCTTCGATTTGGCTTAGATATTTGCTTCCGGCGTTTATATTTCAGTTTTTATTTTCAACATATTTCTTGGTTATGGGTTTGTGTTCTCAAAATTAAAATCCCTAAACCGTAAAACATTTATTCATTCCTCACGCTCCACCGCTCTGGCCTCCAGCTGTGCGCTCTCAGTTTGCAGTCGTCAACGGTTGCCGGGTCATCGTAGCGGAATGAAGACATGAAGAAGAGTTTAGCTATGTAAGAAAACCAAGCTCGTCTACAAAGGTATATTTTTTTCAATTTGTTCTTTTAATCAAAATCATTATAGGCAAATTTAATCGTGAACATAGTTTCTTCCTTTGTTAGAAATTGTTTGTCGGTGACTACCATTGACTAATAAGGTTCCCACAGCTGTGTTGTTTTTACTACATTTGATTCTTCCCAAACAATATCCATTCCATCATTGTCATGTCTCGTTTCAATGTATCTGATATCATTTTTTTAGAAAAAAAACTAAATATTTCAAGTTGTTAGAGTTTATGATCCGAATTTTGTAACAATTCCGCAACTGACAACAAATTACATGTATGCATCAAACATTAACGTTAGTTTTTCAAAAGACAGTAAGATGAACAAAATTCAAAGAATCCAATTGCCAAAGCTAACCTATCCAAAAGACAGATAAAATGATTCTAAAACACAGTGATTAAAGCTTAACCAACTCTGATTAAACTATAAAATGTCGACCGGTGCATGCTAGAATAGAAGGTGTCGTTCACTGGTCAGGGGTCATTAGGTTGAAACATAGGTGTTCTGTAAGGAATCCAGAGCAAGAATAAATGACAAAAGAGATGTCATTGTTTTGTTTTAATGGAAGGGATTTGATGTGTTATCCAGAAATGGTTGAGCATTTACTTTTCCTTCTTTTGGTTTGTTTAAGCGGTCCTTCAGGAAAAGGTGTGGGAGTTGTTCCTGGAATTTGACAAGCTTGATTATTATTATGAGTGTAAACCATTCGAGTTAAGCTTAAATTAGGCTCCTTTTGCAACTCAAGCTTAAGCATTAATCAACAACAATTAAAACATGAACAACTTGTCGGTATACATATCTATGTACCTTTATTCCCTGCAAAAGGAAAAGGTTGTTTTTCTGTAATTTGTTCTTAGTAAATTCATTTTTGTTGTGCTCTGCAAGTCTGCCATTTTTTCTTTTAATGCAATTGATGGTTTGGTAATTGGAATTGATGAAATTCTTAAAAGACACATCTCTTGTGATTTCACTTGAAGTGATACAGTAATTTGGTGATTGCTTTTAGTACTGCGAATAAATGAAACGTACTGGAGTTTCAGTTACAAAGCATATTTTTATGGCACAAATAAATGCATATGCAACTTGTGGGCAAATTGAGAAGGCAAAACAGGTACGTATGCATTTAGCACTTAGTAGCTATAGAAGTCATATACTTCTCATATGTTAAATAAGCATGTCAAACTAATGAATGTAACTCACGTACATAAAAAAATCCTTAGTGAGTACCTAATTATATGGAACATATTTCAAGTACAATTTATGCATTAAACCCATTTTGATGTCTCTTATGGTCTTAAAGGATCTATTTTATATTTTAGGTAGTCCTGGACAAAATGATACATGTTTGCAGCATAAATGAAATCAAGAGTGTGCTCGTGTCAGCTCTTGCGTTGAATGGGATGATGTCTAATGCATTAAACCTTTACAAGGAAATCAAGCAAAATGGGGGGACTTTGGAACCTAAAGCTGCTATCGCTCTCATTGTAAGTTTACGACAGAACCTTTGTTTTCTTTTTTCCTATAACTACAATAATCTTAATTATCATCTTTACTATCTCTTGGGAGCATTTTACATCCGAGGGAGAGTTGAGTATATTACTTCAAGTACTGGAGGAAATACAGGATCCAGACTATTGGGTTGATGGATATTGCAGACTAGTCTTACATTGTGTTAGAAATAAGCACTTAAGGTTGGATAACACAATAATTTACATTTTCTGGGGAATTTATCTACTTTACCTAGTTTTCTCATTGATCAAACTCTTTATATAGTAATCTTTTATCTTCATTTTGTTAATTGATTGTTTGATCTTAGATCGGCTATTGATTTGCTCAAGCAGCTTAATGATAAGCTTCATACAGATGATTTGGCTATGAAAGTTGTTTTCGACGAGGTTTTTTCCTATTCTCTTTCTTGATTTTGTGTATACATCTTGCTTGTAATGCCCTTACCCATCTTAGTATGGTTGAAACTCGAAAAATAAGCTTTAACTCTTGGTAGTTGCACTCAGTCATCAGAAGACAACAAGGGGGCTTTCTATCTCCAAATGTATGCGAGTTTTTACAAATGCTGGTTGGCAAATATTTTATGCCTTTTGCTTTTCTGCACCTCTCATTAATATGTTATCTCGTGTGTTTATCTGAATGCATTTGCCTTACATGGGTCCATCTCTTGATTGAATAGATATTCTGTGTAATTACTGAGAAACAACCTAATGATTTAAGGTTTGCCTTGGCTTTGTTTCAAGCCATAAAGGATGAATTTGGCCTTAACTCTTCTCGTAAAAGTCTCGACTTTCTCCTTACTTCTTGCGTAAACGCAAAAGATTTACAGAACTCTCTTTTAATTTGGAGTGAATATCAGGTAGCTAGCCTTCGTTTCAATGTTTTAACATTCTTAAGGTTAGTAATCCTCCATCAGTCTTCTTTTCTCGGCTTTGTTGCTTTGTTTTTAAAGTCTATGTCTAACCATTTCATCAACCAGTCGTCTCCTTGGATGGATTGAATTGTTGTGTTCTCTTGTATGATGTATCAAGCCCTTTTGGCTTCAGGAGATCCCAAGTCTGCGAAGAGTTTGCTAACTAAGATTCCGATGGACGACTCGCACGTTCGATGCATTATCAAGGCATGCCAAGAGACTTATGTTCAGCCATCGAGCTTGACAAAGACAAAAAAAGCAGAATGTGAAGAATAAAACATGAAAAATACAATCATCCATGAAATAGTTAAGATGAAGGAAAGCTAGAGGAATCTACGTGTCTTGATTAAGATGTGTAAATGACATTGATCAAGGGCATTGCACCCTAACGAAATCCTTAATTAATGTTGTGGACATGGATGATCATTTATGAAAGTTTTAGCAACAAATTAAAGCATTGAAATTTAACTTGTCAAATTTGAATCCAAACATGAAAATGATTCGAACAAATATACTTATTTGTTATATCAAAATGTTTTTAACAATATTATCGATGAATTTTTATATAAATAATTTTTATTTAAATATTTAGAATTTCACTTGTTAAAAAATATAGAACAATGATAATTTGGTAAAATACACATTCTAATAATATTTTATTCCTTCAACCAAACACTGTAATCTTACATTCCTACCAAACAAATCAAACACAGTAATGTAATATTCCCAGTAATCATATTCCTTGATAATCTTTTATTTTCGCAAATAATCTCATATTCCGTGAATTAAACGTTAACGTGGACGACAAAGTGTCGTTTGTCCCCTTCCTTTTCTAAATTACATAGTAACTTTAACAACGTTGAATCTTATTACTTGATATTTATAATTAATTAATTAATTCAGAATGAATTTAAAAATTCTATTTTTAGTTATGACCAAGAAACGAAAAATCTAATTTTAGTAATTTTTTCACTTGTTTTTCTTATCATTTAATGTTGGTCTGTTGTGTTCCTCCAAGTTTCTGCCCCGTCGTTTCTTCCGTCTCTGTTTTCTTCTCCTTTATAGAATTTGATTGACTTTATCTGGAAATTACACTCTAAAAAAACAATCACCCAAATGCATTTGAATATCAATGTTGAAGATCCTTAGAGCATTTCAATGTCAGGTCTGAGGTTTGCCCTTCAATTTTCCCCAGACTTGTGAAATTCCTAAAATTCATTCATATGCCTTGGAAGAGCGTCGATTTCTTTGATATCAAATTAACAACTTGGGTCTTTCTTGATTTCTGTAGTTTTTTCTGAAAGCTGTTCCTTGTTTTCATAATTGAACTCGTTCAGATTTTATTTTCCTGCACTGTATGGTTTTTGGGTTTTGAATTCTCCTCTTTTGATTTTCTTTGTTTTTATGCGAAGTTTCGTGCTTGATTGGTATGGTAGGAAGAAGGATTAAAAGAATCAGGAGATTTACGAGGGAAGAGAGAAAAATTATAATCTTTGCAATTTCTCTATGGAACTTCTTATCGGTTCAAACCCATATAAGAAAATCTGGCTAATTTATTGTAATTTTTATATATCCGGCTTTGAACCGCCTATCGTTTAGCTCCTAGTTAATCTAGGATTTTATAGAATGTTTGAAAGGAATTTAGAATGCTGATTGCCTATTTGGTGGTGTCATCTGTATACAGTGTATTGGGAGACCTTAATTGCTCATGCAACTTGTGTTTATAGATTCGAGTAACTTTGTTTTCCCGTATTTTTCAGGTTCCTCAGCTCTTACTGAAATGTGCAGTGGGATCCATTGCTCGGGCAATGATCTTGACATTATAGTAGGGATACAGTTTTGTTAGCAATGCAATTAGTATCAAATGATAGTCAAAAGGAAGGTATTTCAGAAAGAGAACCCATCTTAAGCCAGCCTGACATTTCACGAACATATGAAGAATGTGAAATTTCATCTGTTGGAGGGGATTGTGTTGTTGGTGAAGATTTGGAAGAAATTAATGTTGACGAAACCAGCCATCTGGTCAATTCAGATCACCGACAATGCCGTATATGCCTTGATAATGAAGGTCTTAACACTTAAACACATGTTTCTATTTGATAAGTTTTCAGTAACCATTTCGGAATGGTGGGATTTTCATTTGTCTAAGAAAACTGAAGATGACTTATTTTGAGCCACATGATTACTTATTTTTCAGGGGATGAATTAATCGCACCTTGCCACTGCAAGGGCACTCAGAAGTATGTCCATAGATCCTGTCTCGATAACTGGAGGTCAACTAAGGTTAATGCTTGTTTCTTTGCTGTCTTCTCTTTGTACTTGAATAGAAAATTAGTGTTGCAAATTACTGTAGTCGCTTGTGGAATATTCATGTCTGAATTGAGCAATTAAAGGAAGTTTGGTCACCGTCACACTCACAATTTGAGTCTCGTTTGAATTACACAATCTTAAGGCTTGCAACAAGACAATACATCACATATTAGGATTACAGTGTCTAGTATAAGAATTATTTCTTTATTTTTACACAATATAAGTTTGGTTCGTTTAAATTCTCGGGCTGTCTAAATACTCCTTGCCATATTGAATGTTAAATGCCTATGAGTTCATCTACTTTTGCACATGTAGCTAAATTAAATGGACGTTTTACTATCTTTAGGCTGTGAAATTTATATTTGATTTGATAAATAATACTATTTATTGTTCTCTCTTTTGTTTCTACAGGAGGGCTTTGCATTTGCCCATTGTACAGAGTGCAGGGCATTGTTCATCTTACGTGCAAATGTCCCACCGGACCGATGGTGGCTGAGATTAAAATTCCAGTTCCTTGTTGCAAGGGACCATGCATTCATCTTTGTAATTGTTCAGCTGGTACGGTGATATCCCATGCCATTTTACTTGTCTGGTACTTTCCTGGACTGTTGATTCGTTTGAAATCTATTGGTCTAATCACCTGCTACTGACTGCCAAATGTTTAAGAAAATCAAGACCGAGATTGAATTCTGTGATTATCGTCAACTAAAACTTGTTTTGCCTTTATTTGCTGAACCCCGAGTCTTAAACCATGTTTGATAAAGTTACCATGCTACATGTTTATTTTATTTAACCTTTCATCAATTTTCTTGATTTGAGGATACTTGGGTTGGGATTCTTGATTTAGTGTTACTCATTATTTTGTTAGCCTCTTCATTCTAGAGGGAATGAAATTAGGTTTTCTAGTTGTTACATGTTAATTAATTAGTTTATGGTTGTAATGTTGATAAATTCATAACTGTTCTAACCTGTAAGTCGAGTCTTAGTGGAATTCAGATAGGGTTGTGTCTATGAAAATCTTTTGTACTAAACACATGCACATTTTGTAACCTGCCAGTTGAAAGCAAAGACTGTTAATAAAAGCTTTAAAACGATGTGGCATCATTAAGGTCTGATTTCTGCCATTTTCGAAGTTTATTTGCTTAAGAAATGTGACTGCCTAGGGAACTCTTTTATCGCTTATTTCCCTTTTGTTCTTAATTTATTTGCCTTCACACTGGATGCTGCAACCATAAGCTTTTTGTTTGCTTGATCATTTTATGCCTTCGAGTCTAAAACCTTCTCTTTACTAGACTGTTAAACTCCAAATTATTCCTTAAACCTTCAAAAGCATATACCAATCTGTGCTAATCTGAAGACCTTGGTCTAGACTAGCATCCATGGTATTATCTAATAGTTGCATACTTCACCCATCCTTTTACTTTGAAGTCAAACCTCGGGAAACGACTTTGTAGTGTGCATTGTACAGTAACTTCAACAAGTCTTGTTATTTTCTTCGTTAATCAAACATGGGTATTTTTTGAAGTGTCCACTCATTTGATGCTGCTGGTTATCATGCAAACTGAAACCTTGCTTTGAACAGTTTGTAGCTTTTTTAGGGGTGCTGGTCTACAAGTTTTATGGGGAGGAACTAAGAGAAATGTTTGGTTATGATGAACACCCTTATGGGTTCTATACTATGGCAGGTACTGCTCTCTCTCTCTTCCTTTGTGTGTGTGTGCACGTGCCTGTGTGTGTGATAGTGTCTTTCAGGCACACACATATACTCTTACAAGCTTTGTGCTTAGTTCCCCTTGTTTCTAATCCTTTGTTGGATATATAAAAACTGCATGAAATGCTAATTTTCAGTCTCTTTGAAACTCCCATGCAGTGTTTATGATGCTTCATTTTTGTCCACTGTGTATATCTTACAAGTTTGCGGAGTTGGTTTTGCAGCACGATTGTTCTACGTTTACAACTTTTTAGGGAGTCTGCTGCTTCAAAACTTCATTTCTCTCCTCTCCTTTTTTTTGGTCATCTCTCTTTAATTATTTGTTCAAATAAATAACAAATTCAAAGTAAGAATTAAAGTTAAATGAAATTTGATAAATCCGTTATAAATAAATGTTTGGAGTACAAAAAATCAGTATCTCAATTTTCAGCCAAAATAATTTACTGTAAATCTCAACACAGAAAGCAATTTTTTGTTTCACACTTCTATCATGTAACTTTAATCTTTATTCAATTATCACTATTACAACTAGACCGATTGGAAGTCAGCTCGGAAAACATTGCCCTTCTGTTTAAGCAGTAAGACAGCACATTACTGTATCATGTAGGCGTGCTGTAAAATTTATGGCTGCCTACATTAATGGAAAGGATAAAACCAATATGCCACTTGGAGCTGAAACCGGGAGAGAGTAATAGTGAACATTTAACTTCTTAACTGTATGAAACTTCAGGATAACTGATTGTGCTTTATGACAGTTCTTTTACTGTAATTTGTGGATAAATGTTATTTTGTTGCTTGAATGAACTTTGTGGTTTTCTTGAAAGGGTGATGCACACTTTGGAAAAATGGCAAGAAATTTATTATGGCTGAAGCATCCGCTTAAATGCGGTGGAAATGCTTTATAGATTAAACTAGAAGGCGATGAATAAAGAAAAACAGTGTAATATTTTCTAAACATTCGATCCATGCAACCCAACCAACTCAACCAAAGCTGTTAATCTGGTTGTTTAGATCCTGTACTTTTCTCTTCTTGTGGGTAGCTACGTTTATAATGTCGCTCTACCAATAACCTATCGTAGTTTGATAAGTAACGATTCTGCTACTTATGACATGGTACAAGATTTACACAACTGGTCAGCATGCTGAGTGTACCATCTTCATGTGATACCATCAAAATAAAGATTTTATACTGTATTGTATTTTGGTTTGATGTGCAGTTTTAGCAATTGTCTTGGTGGGTTTGCTCTATGGTTTCTTCATTGCTATCATATGTGGTCAAAGGATCAATGAACGGCATTATCATGTTCTTGTGAAACAGGAATTAACAAAGGTATGTCGTAAAAATTTGATGATAAAACCCTAGTTTCGGTGTTCGGTTCGATGCGGTTTCAGATTTACAACGTAGATATTTTAATTCAAAACTAAATCTCTGGTTTCAATTAACAATTGAGAATATAGTATTTTATGACACTTCGGTGTGCATTGTTTCATTTCTTATATTTTACTCTCTCTTACTCTCGTTTGCCTTTCTATCTGGTCAATCGAAGATTGTAATATATTGTCTAGCTTTGTTTATCGGTGTCGAAGCTGAACGTATTTAGCATATCACTTTCCCTGATGATCATAATTTCAGGAATATATGGTTGAAGACCGGGAAGATAATAAGAACACCTCGGAACTAGACCCCAGCCATGTGACGGAGCTAAGAATGTTGGGGCTCTATTAATTTTGTAGCCGTGCATTTCGTTTGTTTTCCCGGTGAGTGATTTTAACATCATGGTAATGAGTTCCATTCCTATGACTCTTGTTAATAGCCCCTTTCTCACAAATGCATCCGTAAAGTATCACACTCCTTTTGAGGTTGCCTGTCATATTGTTATTTTGAACTGTTTGTGCCTTCGTATCATTTCGTGATGGCTGAGCATAGACTTCATACTATTTCTTCCATGGTCCCTCCCCCCTCTGCCCTCCGTTTTCTCGGTATCGGATGAACCACTCATATGTTTGTTGCATAATATAGTAATTTTCACCGGACTAGTGAAGTTGCCTCCTGTTTGCTTCAGTGTCTTGCTTCATGGTACGGGCTGGTCCGCATGTCGCCAGAAGAATTCAAAATGTCGCAAGCATTGAATTGGGAAGGTAGGGAAGTTGGCCTGCACTCTATGTTGAACTGAGCTCATGTGCTTTCCATCAACCCGGTTTGCTGTTCGATGCCGAAATCCGTTTACTGTCGGTGTTTATTTGTGCATTAGTCATTGGTTTCACTGAGAATTATACTTCTTTTACTTGGTACTTTTGTTCCCTTCTACAGATTATTATGAGAGAAATGTGCAAAAAGATTTTTTTTAAAAATATTTTCGTAAATCAGGTTCTTACAAAATTTCATGTGATCATATTACATCAATATTTTTTTTATTTAAATTACTTTTATATAAGTCATCATCAGATTGTTTAACATGTTTTGTTCACATGTAGTTGAGTTATTTTCGGACGTTAATTATTTATTGATTAACGATTACTATTGACATAGAATTTTTTTATGTAAAATGAAACGTTAAAAATAAAATAATTTTAAATTTTAAATAATTATTCAATTAAACGTTAGGATAATTTTTTAAGCATTATACGCTTTATAGATAGTTTTTCATGTTTTTTTCCTTAATATTAAACTACATGATTACTTTCTTTAATTTGATGAAAATTAAAAGCACTAAAATATATTCCTCAATGTTTTTCTAAAATTTAATATTTTTAATAAGTTGAATATAATTGGTTGATGAAACTCTAACCGTTCTCTCATTCCTCTTCCTTTTATTTTGTTTTGGATTGTGTCGTTTTTTTATAAGTCATATCAATTTTTTTTGATTTGTTTAATTGACGGTGATATTGGTATTGATGTTGGCTGTCGATTCGGTTCTTTTTTTTATCTTCTAATAAGAATATTTCTGTCTTTGTAACATGTTTGTCTTTGTGACACATTTATCTCTGTCTTTGTGTCATATTTATTTCTGTCTTTGCGGCACGTTTTTAGTTTTTTCTGGTTCGTTGGTTTGTTCTTTTATTTATGTTTTCTTAGGGTTAGATTTGACGACACTCTGATTTACGGTTCTCTCCTCTATTATTCCATTGTTTTATATTTCTCTAAAAGAACCTCAACTCTTATGAAATCAAAATCAAGCCTTTAAAAAAGAATTTGACGGATTTCTTAGATGGAGTTATTGTTCTAATATATTTTTCTGTTACAAATCATTAGAACGTGTGTTTATCTTCAAAAATATTTTTAAACTTGTTATTATTTATATTATTGCTTTAGTAAGTAGGTAACATTAGTAATTATAATCAACCAATTAAAATTTTAAATAAATTTAAACCAAAATAATAATAAAAATACATGGTATTCTTGATGCAATAATTTAGACTTACAGCGTGAGGGTGAGGATTCTGAGAAACAAAGTTCCAAAAAATGGTCACAACTCAGCCATCTGTGTGTCCCGTTCTCCCTAAAAGGTAAACCACGCGTCAGCCACTGCTTGGGTGAGAGTGAAGGCAGCGTAAGTCGGACAGTGATGATGATGATTATTGACCCATGCCCAGCACGAACCACTCCCCCCGACAATCCATGTCTTTTTTAACAATCCTTTCATTACACAAACTCAACGTGTCGCTTTCTTATAGGCCGTATTGGGAAGTACCATTAGTATCCGTGGACTTCCATGGTGATCCCAACACGCCAAAAACTAAAGGATAAATTATACTCCATATGAAATGACTTTTGGGTGTTTATATAAAAAGATATTTTCATCACTATGATGATATGAATAATATGATGTCGTTTAGGTGAGGATTATTTATGCCCAAAATTATGTTATTCTGGATATTAAATTTTTAAGAATAATATATTGATTTTGACACTAAATTTTTAAACAATTTCATTTTCACAATACACTTTTTTGGATGTCACAACAACTAAACACTATCTGTCACTGGTCGTCTTTTACGATAAGATTAATATCCAAATGTTCATATTTTTCTTTTTTTATGATTGGTTTTTCTATGAATCTCACTTAAAATCGATGAAAACTTATTAAAAAATTTAGCGTGCTAATATTTCAATCGCTTTCGATGAGTGTCGAATAAGGTTAGTTTTAAGGTATGTTATCCATGTTCTCAAAATAATGCTTCTCACCATTCGATTTTTCAAATAAACATGCCAAATTCATCAAGGCTAAGAAAGTTATCAAATCCTTAAAAACAATAGATTTTTTATTGAATTTCTTTGATTTGGAATAAGATTTGTGAAAAATCAATCCTAAGAGAAGAAAGAGGAGTGAAATGAAAACGTCTTGGTATTGATCTTATCGCGAAAGACAATAGATAACAGACAATGGGCTGCAAGTGACGGTTAGAAAAGTACAGTGCTTAAAATGGAATTGTTTAAAAGTTTAGTGTCAGAATCAGTACATCCTTCAAGTTCAATACCTAAAACTATAACACCAAAATGATACCATTTTATCGATGTCACTACATCATTTGAATTTTAACGACTCAATTACATAATTCAAATTCAAATTAAAAGTCAATGTTATAATTAAAGAAATTGAAGATTCAATGGTATAAACAATATACTATTTAAAGTTTGGTGGTATATGGTGTAGCTTACCCAAAAACTAGACCATCCTGTTGGGATCATTGTCGTTCTCGGTTTAAAAGCTTATCATCACACGGTTCTGATTTTACTTGGTTCAGCCAATCGACAGTTTCTTTGATTTCTCTTCACTCTTTAATTTCCACTTAGCTATTTGATTGTGTTCCTATTTGAAACAGATTCATGCTTAGAAAACAAACAAACAAAAAAGATGCAGCTGAGAAGCTCCTCAACACCAATCTTACGTTCATGGTTATCAAATTCAAAAGACTGTCCAATTTTATCAGCAGAATCAGATTTCCGAGCTCTTCAAAGAACAAGGTCAGTCTCATTTCACTCACCATCTTCCATTGATGACCGTAAACTCATTAGACCACTAAGCATGGCTGATAACGTGGGGAAAGCCATAATACCATCAACAACATCTCATTCTCTTGATAAGCAAACAAAGCAAGAAAGTGATGGAGAAAAAGAGTTTGGATCCGAACCCAGATTTTGGTCGATCAGAAGAGAGCTGTTTTCGAGTTCTGGGTTGGGAGACGCAGCGGGGGATGGTGAAGGTAGTGGTTCTGTGATGCAGCAGACAGTCGTTATGGGCGGTGGAGAAGGAAATGATGATGGTAAAATCTGCGGTGGCGCTAGTGGAGGAGGGGAATCCGGAGGCGGAGATGACGGTGGTGCTGGCGGTGGCTCAGGTTTCTTTGAGAGCAATAGCACTGATGTTTACTATCAGACGATGATTGAAGCTAATCCAGGGAATTCACTTTTGCTTGGCAATTACGCCAAGTTCTTGAAGGAGGTAAAAGCATGACTTCTTAAGATGATAAGTGACATCGTATTCGTATCCATAACCGTAATCGTATCTGTACAGATTAGAGCAGATTTTGGCAGAGCAGAGGAGTACTGCGGCAGAGCAATTTTGGCAAACCCTGATGATGGGAATTTCTTGTCCCTTTATGCTGATCTAATCTGGCATAATCAAAAGGACATCGAGAGAGCCAAAACTTACTTTGATCAAGCTGTTAAGACTGCCCCAAATGACTGGTAAAAACAATATATAAACCTTTAATCTATACTGCTATATTTGTTGTATACATACTTCCCTTGTGCATCAAGCAACACTTTCTTTCCCTCCCATTTTATCAAACTGAAATTTGGCCTGAAATCTTCATATTCGAATCAAACTTAATGTGTCATTTTCTATTTTGATCCACAGTTATGTCCTGGCTTCATATGCAAAGTTTCTCTGGGACGTCGAAGACGAAGAAGATGAAGCGCATGAAGGGAGAGTAGAAGAAACTGAGCACATATATATACCTCATTCTACAGATTTCTTTCTTCGACCTCCTCAACACCCTTCCATAACCGCAGCTTCCTGACTTATATGTATGTACAAATGATCTCCGGATTTCGAACCGAGCTTTTTCCGGCCACAATAGCAATGTTAAACCAGACAACTTAGTTGATGTGAATGCCTTCTGTTATTTGCCTTACTGTATCTTACATCAATAATTATGCCTGCATTTGTAATAAAAGAGGACATTAAATGATCTTTTTTGCCTTTTCTTTAGTTTCCTAAGTTGAAAAGGGTTTGTTTAAATCGAGGAAAGGAAAGTTTCCACCATGTACTTTGGATCTTAAACTAAACATTCTTAATAACTTATTATTAAAAGGTTTAATAAATTGAATCTCTTATATTTTAAACTAAATTATAATTGGTGATTAAGTTAAATTTTATCGTAATTCTAATGGTCGAAGATTACTTGATAAATAAATTTATTTAATAAATTAAATATTTATTTTTAGACAAAATTCTTATGACAAGAAATTTTAGTGATCAAGTATTTGATTATATAAATAGAGATTGTCTTAACTGTTAGGGAAGTGAGCAAAACTTAATCAATGTATTATCTACTTGAAAATAATGCAATTTTAATTTTATATACTTACCGTGTCATGTCAATAAATCGTTAAAGATTTAACAAATGTTAACCTTCAATCATCACATCTTAACTAAAACAAACGAAAGTGACCAAATATTAAAGGAAAGTGACGAAAACCTTTTTTTTATTTGACGAGCAAAAATGTATAAATATTAAAAGAAAGTGACCAAAACTTAATCAACGTATTATCTACGTGGAAATGATGTAATTTAAATATTATATATTTATCGTGTCACGTCAGTAGATCATTAAAGGTTTAATAGATGATAATTTAGTGTCCACATCTTAACTACAACAAAACGAATGTGACCAAATATTATATTTTTTTGAATTCAACGACGATAATTTGTAAATCTCAAATGAAAGTGACCGATTCCATAATTTATCGATCCTTTTTTTTTGTTACTAAACACAATCATCTACAATTATTCAAGTCTAGTACATAACCATCTGTTTTTTATCATTATGTATGACTATATTTAGGGACAATAATTTAACTTTAAGTTTAAATATTTCGATCTGATATGATCTAATATGGTTGGATTTTTTTAATTCGGGTTTAAGTCGGGTTGGGTTAAATTTTCAAGGGAGTGAGATCTGGTTGGGTTAAGTTCGATTGGAGGGTGAAAAAACTACAATCCGACTTGACCTAGAGATAATAATATAATTTCTTTAAAAGTTTTATTATTTTTTAATTAAGTCTTTATTTTATACATGGTCTAATTGGATCAGATCATATTTATATTTTAAAAATTCTTGTTAGATTGAAGTTAGGTGGAGATTATATATTTTTTGGGTCAGATCAGATCGGGTGAAAAATATATAATTTTTAGATCAGATTGAATTTTATGAAAGATACATATTTTTCACGTCGAGTCAAATAGACCAAAACTTGACCCTAGTCGACGTATTCCATTCCCTAACTATAATTAGTCATATGTAGATCTTCTATATGGTATTAGAGCGACGAAAATCATCCAGAACCTCTAATAAAACAGTCGTCAAAGATAGGTTGAAGTACGGTTTCCGTTTCTTAAAGATTCTTGAGTTTATTAGTGCTTAAAGGTACTTAAACTGGCAATTAGCATCGATTAACCCTTTTACCAATAAAATCATCTTCTTATAGATGAAATGAATATTTTTTTAATTAATATGGTAAGTATAAAGTAATATATGTTTAAGGACAATTTTTAATATTTTGATATTAAACGCTCACACACTTGGTGCTCAAATCTGAGTCCTTAAAAATACAAATAATTAATTTATCACAGAAACCATTTGATTCGTGCACGAAATGGATGCTTACTCTGACGACAACTAGTATTGTTTGTCCTAGAAAGTCTTGCCCTTACCAGCTATATCAATGGAATCGGGGGTGGATCGAGGGGTGAATAAGGATTATCGTACTCTCTAAAAATTTTAAAATCTTATATATTTTTAAAAAATTGTATTTTCTATTTATTTTCTATCTCTGAAATTTTATATGTTCATATCCCCTTAAAATTTAACAAATTCATCTTGTAACATGGAATTTTTTGTCCGTCCCTAACTATAGTTTATTCTTAATAAAAGACATAAAGCTCTCAACAATGAATCTATAGTGCACAAACAACATGATAGTGCTCTTGTCTCCTGACTCCTTGCGTCGATCAATTTTTCGGTACTCTACGATTAGTAAAAAAAAAAAGAGTGTTAATCAATACCTCTTGAACTTGAAGATAAGCTTATCATCTTTCATGGAGATGGAATTAGCAAATATGGCATTTTTAAGGGTTTTGACCCATGCGATGGTTTATGTTAGTAAGTTCGTTTTTACTAAATTATCTCCTTGAAAGATAATTCCATCTTTTAGCCTAACATAAAGCATCACACTGAATCAAAATCTTAAACGATTATCATATCTCAATCATCATGTTATACATGTTATTTGATTTAGTTCGATGCTTTAACCGATCAAAATTAAGAGATCTAACACCCTTTATCACGTAAAACAAAAACATGTTCATTAAGATACAACCAGCGTATATTTATCTTATATAATCGAAAAAATGATCATTCTTTAAATATTTTTAAAGTTTTAATCTTTTTAATTAGCTTTAAAATAAATATTTTCCCTATAAGTTTACACTTTTAGCCTAACATGTCGCAATTAGCTTGCCTTAGTCCATCTATATCACTTATCTCAATAGTGACATTGATGAACTCCCCTTATTCATATTTGAATAGACTTTTACATTCTAAATGAATTCATCGTAAAATAAACTTGAGTTACATGGATCTTAGATCAAAATTAAAAAAAGAAGAATTTATTGGTTAAAAATTAAGATTTAGGGTTTTATTTGTTGGAGTCCCAATTCTATGAAAATAAAAATGTCATTCTATAATTCTTTCATTACTTAATACCTTTATTTTATTATTTTGCTTAGTTTGATTGATGCAATTTCTAACATTACTTTTTTATATAATTTATTGGTTTAAATATTAATGTTTAATTTATTAATTAATTATTCGAAAATCAAATTTTATATGAGTTCATTATAAGATGATTCTTCTAATTTATTTTATTCGAAAACGATAAAATTTATGTCCTTGCTTTAAAAGATATCGGCCATCTTACCATTTGATTAACTTCTCGTAGGTCAATCAAATACTTTATTAATAGCATAGCTAAATCATTGAATTTTTTAAAAATAATATCAGTCATGAAAATAAAAATAAAATTAATAATTTCAACCACGAAAATATTTTAAAAATATAATTGACCTAAAGTATGTATGAAAATATTTAATAGTATATTTAAATTAATTTGAGTATAAATTTATCTCATATTTTCAAATTTGCTTGAGCGTGGCCTTACAATGAGCTAAAATATCCAGACGACATCGTTTAGAAGTCAAAAATTCTATATACAAAATAAGCATACGACACCGACATCGTTTAGAAATCAAAATTCGATATATAAAATAAGCATAAGACAGAGTTTAGCAAAATATATAAACAAATGGCCCATGCAGGTTTCGAACCTGCGACCTTCGCGTTATTAGCACGACGCTCTAACCAACTGAGCTAATAGGCCGTTACTTTTATTTTGAAACTTTATATATAAAAGATATAAATAGTTGTTTATTTTGAAGGCTTATAGTCTATATTTCACGAGCAACGTTTTGAGGAAATACCATCACTTTTCAAGTAAAGGGATCAAGCCAACTCTCTCAAAGGACAATCTATTACTAGTACATAATTGATTAAAACTGACCCTTCCATGAATTTTTCCCTTACAAATGACAGATTAAGTTTAATATGCTTCAAAAATTCAAATAACCTTTTTTTCCCTCTGAAACCTTAATAGCCGATTAATTATTTTTTATCTTTGGTTGATAACAAATGACATCAGTCTTGGTGTTGATTGCTATCGTTAGTATTTCTTATTTTCTTTTTATTTTTTACTGTTTTTTCTTTTTTTTTTTTTAAATTTTTTAATAACTTTATCTTCCTAGTACGTTTCATATGTCTTTTGACATGTTTTCGATCGTTTAATCGTTTTTTTCATTTATCATTTATCTCAGAATTGGACTTGACATTATCACAGCTGATAAATGCGGCACTTATTTGTTATCATGTTGATCTTATCTGCTTTGGACCCTTGGATTGAATTAATATACGATTTGCGTTCGTAAATAGTTTTCTCACGTCGGTCGACTATGATTAGTAAATTATTCGTGGTCTTTTAATAACTTGATCTCTTTTATGGTTCGTTTGTCGATACAATCGCATATGTTCGCATCTACCTTTTATTCGATTTTATTTGATTAGGTTTTATTTTAACATTTTCTTTGTATGGTCATTGTGTGATCTTAAGTGGCTAGTTTCTTGTGTAAAGATTATAAAAAAAAAATCTCTATTGTGTTTTTAGTTTACGATTATAATTATAAACTTTTATCGTAATTCTAGATATTCCTTATTTTGATCTAATTTGGCATATTCAGAAGGACATCCAAAGTGCCAAAACTTACTTTGATCAAGCTGTTTAGACTGCTCCAAATGACTGGTGAATATAATATATAAACTTTTAATCTATAATGCTATATTTGTTGTTTATATAGTTTGCTTGTGCGTCAAGCAACCCTTTCTTTTTCTCCCCTTTATCAATCTGAAAGTTTGCCTGAAATCTTCCTATACAAAATGAAACCTAATGTTTCATTTTCCATTTTGATACATAGTTATGTCCTGGCTTCACATGCAAAGTTTCTCTGGAACGTCGGAGACGAGATCGAAGATGAGAACGAAAAAGATGAAGAGCATGAAGGGAGAGTAGAAGAAACCGAGCACACATATATATACTTCACCCTACAGATTTCTTCCTTCGACCTCCTCAACAACACCCTTCCATAACTGCAGCTTCCTGACTTATATGTATGCAAAAGTGAGCTCTGAATTTCGAACCGAGCTTTGTTCGGTCGCCGTAGTAATTTTAAACCAAACAACTTAGTTGACGTGGATGTCTTCTCTTCTTTATCTTATTGTATCTTGCATCAATAATTACGCCTTCAAATGTAATAAAAATGGACTTTAAATGATCCTTTTTGCTTTTTCTTTAGTTTCCTACAATGTGGAAAAGGGTGTGTTTAAAGTACCATAAACTATGTAGTAAACAAAAGTTGCAAGATCAGTGAGCACATATGCTTGCTCGATAAAATTGCACTTGCTCAATGTTTATAAAAGGGTTTTCTCTCGCTCCCATTCTAGTTCATTTTATGTAAATACATCGGACTTTAGTCATAATAATAGACAAAAGTAGTCAGATGATTTTTTTTTTCAAATTTTATAATCCGACAAAAAAAATGAAAACAAATAATAATAGGAAGTGCGTGCGATGTAATCTGTTTGAGCGTGGCCTACAATGGGCAAAAATATCCAGACGACATCGTTTAGAAATCAAAATTCTATATACATATAAAATAAGCATACGACACCGTTTACAAAAGATACAGACAAATGGCCCATGCAGGTTTCGAACCTGCGACCTTCGCGTTATTAGCACGACGCTCTAACCAACTGAGCTAATAGGCCGTTGCTTTTAAATCGAAGTTCATATTTTATAATTATAAATATAGGTCAATTATTGTTGTTTCTGTCAAGAACTTATTTCTTATATTTCACAAGGTGATACCATCAATGTTTAAGTTTTTTTCAACTCGAGACTTTATACTCTCGAATTGAATAAAAATACATAATTTACATTCATGAATAATCCAATACGTAATTTACATTCATGAATAATCCTCACGTCACTCGACTCTAATTAACAATTTTATCATAATGTTTTAATAATTTGATCCTTTTATGATTCATCATCGATAAAATCAGTTCTTTTCGTATCTATCTTTCGTTTGAGTTTATTTAGTTATGACTTTTTTTTTGTGATTCAAACAAAATGGCTAATTTTAACATTATGCCCTTACTATAATTTGGAAACTAAAGTTCATATCGGCTCTTTTTTCATGTTCTAATATAAAAAATGTAATCCATAGGTCCTAGAATTTTCGGGGACTAAAATAGACAGATAATAAATAAGTACAGGCCGTATTTCACTTTGAATTTGAGATATAAATCGGGTCCTGAATCAACACATTTATATTGCGGTATGATCAGAGATCTTACATAAGAAAGATTTACCATAGGCATATCAATATATTAAAAGGCATTGTTGTCACCATAAGCATGCTACTATTGCTGCTAATTCTATGATCATAAAACTAAACATCTCATCTATATGTATGCCATGCTCCTTGTTTTACTTACTTTTAGAAAACATCTGGGTGGAAACGCCCCGGGATGGAGTTGCTTTGCTGTGCCTGCCTCAAGTGCAACGTTAAGGCGTAGTTATTTACCTGCAAAACCAGCCATCTATTTTGTTAATACAACATTTTGGGGTGTAAAAGAATGAGTTGCAATTTTTTGTGATTTTCGACCTCTAGACTTCGCATCTGCTCCTGATACCGAGGCACCAACTGCTTCAAATGTTCCAACTCTTTGTTTCTGTCCTGGTACTCCTTTTGACGTTCGTGCTGTATAGCCACCGCACGCTTCAGTACTGTGTTTTCTTGAACCAACACTTGGATCTGTTCCTTTAACAAGATATTTTCCTGACAACAATATACAATCAAATCAACAAGGTGACGTTTACCAACTTCAGAGCTACATAGAAGATGATATAGATATTGAAACCCACATTTGATTTCACACATATGTCGAAAAATAAACCCGAAATTTCAGCACGACTATTGAGTTTTGCAACTGCAGACCCAAAAAGCCAAAACAAGAGTGCTTCTTGAATATGAATTTAGCAGGACATAGAGGACGTTAAGAGAGACATACCTTGTGAGAAATTTGGGCTGCCTCCTCCGCAACATGTTTACTGATGGACTTCTCCAGAACCTCCAGCAGTTTAGAGGCACGGGCTTTGGCATCACCCACACTTGAAGCACTCAGCATCTCCCTCACAAACAAGTCCACCCATTCTGCACCATCAACAGGCAGAGCTTCAGGGGCTGATGAAATCTGAACAGTAGCCGCAGCAGCAGCTTGTCCATTGTTGGTTAATATATCTGCAATTTCCACTACACATGTGAGATTCCCCTACCTTACATAAGGAGTAAGAACTACCCATTTTTTTTGATAAGAAAAAACTACCCATTTTAAAGCATATGGTATACCACACACAGCGGAACAATTAAACGTAAAATGATTAGTTTTGGGGCAGCATGCCACAATTTGGTAAAAGTTACATATATAAATTGTTCCACAAGAAAATATTCTATTGAAATTGATTAACCGCAATATGTAACTCTCGAGGCAAATGGCTAAGGAGGACTAAAATCAAAAGGAAATCTATCACTTCTTTTTCTCTTTGAAAAATAATTTTTCACTGGTTTATACACGGAAGAAGAATAGGAAACTGATGGTCAAAGGAACCTTTTAAACTAATTGCACAACCTTACAGTTTATGGACTCCTGGAAGCCCTATATATTTTACTCCCATCTCATTCAGCATTTAACTTAACCCTTAGGCATACAAACTATTCTAAGGACAAACAAACACGGGCTAGAGTTAAATAGCAACAACATCATGCAATAGGCTGATTTGACACTAAAACGGTCAGTTTGTCACAGATTGCAAGAATTAAGTTGCATACCCTTCTCAGAAGTTGCACCCAGTTCCTCAACAAGACCCGTCTTTTCCCCTTTAGCCTCTGATGCTCCTAAGTGAAGCTCTTGAAGCCTCTTGATCGCAGTGTCTATATTGTTGCCGCATTCGAGTAGTGCTCTCTCGAGAAGCTGAAAAGAATAAAATGTTAAATGTTAATAGAAGAGACAGATGGATCACTATTCAACAGCCAACCATAATCCCTTGCTTATACTTTAAAAGCTAAGCAACAGATTTAGAAGACAAAAGATAAACCTCAACTCACTAAAACAATCAATCTTATAGACACATACTTTGCAAAATCACAAACCTAGATAAGTTCATGCTTTAGATTTTTTTTTTGCGCCTGTTTGTGAAACCCCGATAACTCCACAAAAAGTGAATTAAGATGATCATACAAGCAACCCAACTATATGATCCAACTTGATTGGGTTATTGCCAAAAAAAAAGATTCAAACAGTATTTTCCAATACGTTCATGGTTTCAATCCACACAACTGAACTTGATAGAATTTATAGCAAAATCAGTTTTTCATAGGCCTGTAAATAAACTGAACGGTCGACGAACCGTTTGGTGGGAAGTTTGTTTATCTACGAGCGAACATGAACAAGATTTTATTTTTGTTTACTTAAATGAACGAACACGAACAAAGGGTTCATTCGTTCATTTACGGTTGTGAACGTCGGTAATTCGTTCGTTTGTGTTCGTTTATGTTCAGTAATATGTTCATTTATGTTTGTCTATTTAATTAAATTTATATTTATGTTCATTTATTTATATTCTTTTAAGATTTTTTGCTTGATTTAAAAAGAAAGTTTAAGTTTTATGTTTGTTCGTTTACGTTCGTTTGTTTTCATCAGTGTTCGTTTGCGTTCGTTTCTCATCATGAACAAAAACAAACATGTTAAATTTCTTAACGAACGAACAAGAACAAGAAATTATGTATGTTTAGTCGTTTGTGTCCGTTCGTTTGTTCGGTTAAAATTAAACAAACAAAATACACTCGTTCATGTTCATTCGGTAGGTTTACAAGCCTAGTTTTTCATGATGAAATTTCATGCAAAAAAAAAAATAAAGCAACATAAAAATATTAGTAATATATTTATGCAAGGCAGGATCAGTTGGCACAGTATAAATTTTACACTTTTTTCATAGTTGGATAAATGAAAACTATGGTTGAGATTAACCTAGGAAATAAATATATATTTTAAAAAAAAGTGAATTATCTAAATTTGGAAGTTATAATCTCAACCATTATACTCAATAATCCTTATAAAAAGACATAAAACTTTTTATAGAAAAAAAACACATAAAGCATTTAAGTTTTACTTATCCTAACAATATATATATATATATATATATATATATATATAAGATAGATAAATGAATCGAAAGGATTGCAGGTTTATAATTTTGTACTTTGATCCCACTTTTAAATCTCTGCGTTCAAACAGAATTACCAAAGTAATGAATCAAGAAACATTACACTTTTGCTATAAATCTTTAAAATCTAATTGCTAAATAACAAATAAAACTTGCATTTCTGCATCTAATTAACGGATATATTTAGGAATAAAAGAATAAATAAAAAGGACCGTATGTACCTCGGGGTCCATAAGAGGAAAGAGGGCACGGAGGTGATCGACGGGAGAAGGCAACGGAGCAAAACGAGCCGAAGAAGGAGATGAAGGCGAGCAGCGCCGGAGCTTCTTCGAGACAGAAGCCGATGGCGACGGAATATCATCAAAGAACGATCTCTTGCTCCCGCACACTGCCGCAGACATCCTTACCTATGTCAATGGTACTCCCTCTCCTTTCTAGCTAATTTTATTTTTAAAGAAAGAAAGTTTATTGGGGTTGGGGTGAACTTTTCTGTTTGGCTGACGAGAAATTGATGCGATTGTTTTGGAAAAGCGTTGGCTTTGGGGTTTAGGTTTTGTGATCCCTTTTGTTATATAGTAATGGCGGTGAACTGCTGGAGAAGAAAAGCAATGCCTTTTAAAGCGGTGCGGTTTTGGTAATTTAAATATTGTAACTTATTTGACAAGAAAGCAAGAGTTCAAAAGGCATCCTCCAACGTTCATTAAAATAATAGATAAACTATATGATTGATCACTTAATTATTGTCTGTTTTATTTTAACCATTATTTTTTAAAAAAAATTATTATTTAATTATTCTCAATCAAATCAAATGAAAGAGGTAATATGGTAGTTAAAAATTTAGTATAATTATATATTTAGTTTTTATTATTTATATATTCTATTAATTTGATCTTAATTTAGTATAATTATATATTTAGTTTTTATTATTTTATACATTCTATTAATTTGATCTTAATTTAGTATAATTATATATTTAGTTCTTATTATTTATATATTCTATTAATTTGATCATAATTTAATATAATTATATATTTAGTTCTTATTATTTAGTAAGCTTTTCATAGTAATTTCTCTACACTTCTCCTCCTTTCATCAAAGTTCTAATTTCTAAGAGAGTTTCTTCCAAAATTTTCCCACCATTTCAAGATATTATTTTTCTTCTTTCCATTATAACTTCAAGACTTGTTCTCGACTCAACATTGAAGTGAAACATACAAATAAGTTATTTTATTATTATTTTGTTTATTACTTCGTTCAAAAATTAAATTTATCTTAAAAGTTAAATCTAGGATTATTGTTAGGGTTAAGTTTTATTGTTAGTTTTAATTGTTAGGGTTAAGTTTTATTGTTAGTTTTAAGTTTTATTTTTAGTTTTAAGTTTTATAATTATTATTTGATTTTTTGAATACTTTATTAGTTTATTTGATTTCATATAATGAACAACAAATGGTTTATATGCAACTATAAGAAAAAAAAGTCACGTTCAAAAAGTAAAGAATATGAAGCTCCTAGTGATGATTACGGTTGGAGGTAGGGAGAACATGTTGAAGGCCATCGTAATAATGTCAGATGCAAATTTTGTGACAAAATTATCAAAAGAGGAATAACAATGGCTGTAAAAAAATGTAGCACCTTGTCAAAATGTCTCGGTTAAAGTTAGAAAAAACATTGCTCAACAACTTAAGGAATATCATAATGAAAAAGCTTTGAAGCAGAAGAGGAAAGAATAAGATTAGGAGATCATGGAAACTATGGTAATAGTGATTCTGATGATGAGGAGTTAACTATTGCAAGACAAGAAAGTATAAGATCCAAAATTGAATGGGAGGAAAGACAACATCGAAGAGAAAAAACTGGCCAAGATTCAATTTATGAACTTGAGGGAGGTAGTAATTCTGAGACTCGAGACTTTAGAAGATCATTCAGTACCGTTGATTCAAGAAGAAGTGGAAGGGAACATCAGTGGAGTAATTTTGACTCTCCTGGAGCTAGATTAGCAAATATTGATCCCGTTCTTGAAAAATCAAAGAGTTCGAAACAACCAAAACTCGCTAAAAGCTTTTTAAAAAATGCAAGAAAAAAAAGATAAGGAAAACAATTTCAAAGTTAATATTGTATGAAGTTTTACCAGCAAGAATTGTAGACTCACCATTTCTACAGCCTGTACTTCAAGTTGGAGCTGAAGTTGAAAAATCGGTTAGGAGTCCTTCACCTTATAAGGTAACATGAGTGTATTTGGATGAAGAGTATAAAGAAATACAAGAACATGTGAATGGCTTTAAGCATATATGGGAAGAAAAAGTGTGATCGGTGGAAAGGGACTAGAAATCAACATATAATCAATTTCTCGATTTATTGTCCTAGAGGTACCATCTTTAAAAAATCAATTGGTGCTAGCAACCTTACCTCTCGTATCGCTGAGTATTATTTTGATATAATGGACAAAATGGTGGATGAAATTGGTGAAGAATTTACTGTTCAATTTGTTAAGGATAATGAAGTAGCAATCAAAGACGGTGGTAAAATGTTGATGCAAAAGAGAAGACACATGTATTGGTCAACATGTTCTACTCATTGCTTAGATCTTATTTTGAAAGAAATTAGTAAAAAAAAAGGTGTGAAAAGTGTCATAAATCAAGAAAAAAAAAGATTACTTCCTTCATATACAATCATACATGGACAATTGATTATATGAAGAGGTATACCAAAGGTATAAAACTCTTACGTCATGAGATCACTAGATTTGCTACCAATTTCATTTCTTTGGAGATTATTGTTAAAAGCAAACAAACACTCAAATAAATGGCGACTTCTTCAGAATGGAAAAGGTCCACATATGCAAGAAAACAAGCTGGATTAGAGATGATGGAAGTCATTAACTCCACACAATTTTGGAAAAAGGTGGGTGATGTCTTAAAGATCCAAGAACCGTTGGTTAAAGTATTAAGGATGTGTGATAGTGATGAAAAACCAACCATGCGTTTTATTTATGAAGCCATGAACAGAGTAAAATTGGAGATTCTATACGGTAACAATTTCACAAGTGAAGTGATTCGTTAAACTATAAATGACGTTAGAAATGTCATACAAAGAATAGAACCTAACTTGAATGATCAAATTTTGGCATTGAATCAGGTATGTATTTTATATACTTAAATTATTTGAGGTAACTCATAATTTATCATGTTTTAACTACTAATTCATTTTTTAGTTGTTATACCGAGATAAAATGGTTTCTTTCGGAATATCATTAACTCAAGCTGCAATTTTGAAGACTAACCCTGGTAAACAAAAAAATTATTGTCTATATTTTTATAGATAATAAAGATATATGTACAAATACTTTATGAATTATATCCTAATATTTTTTTGTAGCTGAATGGTGGATTAATTATGGAAATTGAGCACCACAACTTCAACACATCATTGTCAAAGTTTTGAGTAAAAAAATTATTCTTCAAATTGTGAGCACAATTGGAGTACATTTAGTTTGATCCATACGAAGAATAGAAATAGACTCAAGCATTAAAGGTTCAAAAATTGTTTTATGTCCATTATAATATGAGGTTGAAGTTGAGACACATGCAAAGAAAAAGTGCACAAGAGTTAGAAATGAGTTTTAATTCGATTAATCTTGAGATTATTTTTGAAGAAGAAGATATAATGAGGAAGATGTTCAACTATCGATGTCAAGTGATGATGATGATGATGGTGGTGGTGGTGGTGGTGGTGATAATAAAGGTACATACTAACCAGATTATGGACACATTTGTTCTAATACTTTTCATGGAGATCAAGGTACATCTAGATATCCTCATGCTGATAATTCAGGTTTACATAGAACAAATGCATCACAAAATAGAAGAAATGAGGATGATAGAACTCATAGGAAGATGGGTTTAGGGTTTAGGGTTTACCCACAACAGTCACAACACGTTATGTAATGTTTGCAACATCCACAACTACGACACTGCAATCGCATCCGCGACAAAATCCATAACCGCAATTTGATACTATGAATGTGATGGCTGGTTAATGAACATTGTTCTTCTTGAAGAATCAATCCTAGAAAGCTCTATACTCAATGAAGAACAAAGGGGAATGAATAGGGGAAAATGGTGACAATATCTAGGATTCTTTAGGGTTTCTTTTAGGAGATGGAATCAAGGCAACAAGATTAGAATAAGATAAAAAAAGATAAAGTAATTGGAAATGAAATAAGATAATAAAGAAATCAAAAGACCACCCTTATGAAGGTGAACGGTAAAGATGATTGATGGTGCGAATGGATTTGTGGAAAAATAGATGGATAAGTGTCCTATCGAACCCTCCTAGTCGCAATGAAAAGGAAAACTCAATAATATGACTCTAACCAACCCTCCTAGTCGCGATGAAAAGGCAAATTGGAGTGTGAAGATTAATATCACTCACAAGAACTTGAAAGAACTCCAGGAGAAGAAGCATCGAAGGCACAAATCAATCAACACTTGTAAAAACGAACTCTCATTGTATTATTAATCAAAGAAGTCTATTTTACAAAGTTGAATGAAGCCTTCTTTATATAGGGGATGAGTTCTAAAGGTCCTAAATAACTAATGAATAAAAATAATAACAAACTAAACATGTCTTAACTCTAATTCCTAATAAAATAATAATAACTAAAAATAATATTTTAACTTAACATTAATTCCTAATAAAATAATAAATCTAATCCTAAAAGACAATGCATCATCCTGTGTTAAATTATATTACAAATAATCAATAAAAATATTGAAAATTCGTAATATTTACAAAATCCCGTATAGGATTTTCTGCATGCACTATTTTCACTAAAATGATCATATCTTGAGTTCTCGATATCAGATTGATTCAATTCAAGAACCATTGGAAAGATAAGAGATAGATGGTCGTATCTCCAGAATACATATTGACCAAATAAAATGAGGATACCATTCAAAAAGTCATCGTAAGTATGCTATTGTTCTGGTCTTTTTTCCAAGGCTTGGACGAGTGGATCATTTGGAATAATTATTACTTCTTCCTTTGATGTGAGTCTTGTGATGCATGTATCACACATGCTACCCTCTATTATGAAGAAAATTACTTGAACAAAAACATGTAGGTGTATGATATAAAATATATTTTTGAAAGTGTACATTATAGGGAGAGTCGTCTCATACTTTTTTGGGGCCATGAGCAAAACTAAAAAATAAGGTCTTATAGAGCGAAAGTGTATTCTATTACTTTAAATAATTAATTTGATATTATAAAGCTAAAAAAGTGATATTAAAAATCTAACAACGTCAGTTATAAAGGTAGAAAATGAGATTAGAAAAAATTAGGGGCTTCAATTATAAAGGCAAAAAGTGAGATTGAAAAATTAGGGCTCTCATTTATAAAGGTAAAATGTGCGATTGAAAAAAATTGTGGACTTCAATTATAAATGTAAAAAGTGAGATTTCAAAAATTAGTGGCTCAATTATAAAGATAAAAGGTAATATTACAAAAATTATGAGTTTCAATTGTAAAAGTAAAAATAATATTAAAAAATTAGAAGTCTTAATTAAAGAAATAAAAAGTATGATTAAAAAAATTAAGGCCTTGAGCAATCATTTAGGTTACTCTCCTTATTAAAAAAAAAATTAGTTGACCCTTATTCGCATATGTAATGAGGTAAGGGAGAGATAGGATAGTAGGCTGCTCCCAACGCCAGGTTCAGAGCAACTTCCTTATTAGTTGGCTTTAATTATAGGTCATGTATTTTATCTCTATGACAGTACGAGGAAAATGACGGCGACAACAAAATATTAATCTATTTTCAATCACTCAAGAAATACATGTTTAAAAGTTATATTTAATCATTTGTAATTATTCTATCTAAACACTATGAAATTTTAAGAAACTCATCATCAAATATATTACTTTAAACTATCAAAATAAAATTTATTTTATTTTAGTTCAACAACGTTTATAATTGTTTTCGTTTAGATAAAAAATTTATATTGTTTCCATTTAAATAAAAACACGATTCACAAAACGTACTTTAAAGATTTTTTACATTACATATCTTTATATTAGATGATAAAAATATTAATACGAAAAGAATCTAAAATATGAACTCATCAAGTGACTTTAGGTGGTAAAAGAAAAAAAATTATTTTTTCTAGAGGTTTTATATTCGAAGCTTTGAACATATATTATCTTATAATTAATCTAAACTATTAAAAAAATCTTAAACTTTATTTTTTATGATATTTGAATAATTTTTTAAATTGAAAGATATATTTCTGAATCTTTAGACGAATTATAAAAGAATTAAAATCTAATAACATACAGGTCAAGGTGATATTTAAAAGAGAAAAAAATATTTTTGTGAAAAAGTGTTTTAGAGGATACATTTTGATACAAAATGTTATTATATATATTAGAAAATCATTTTACGTGCGCATAAAAGTGTTTTATTAAAAAAACTTTTTTTTTAAAAAAAATTAATAAAAAAGAATTTCGTTCTTAATATGCATAATATAAAATAAATATCTAAATTATATTTTTTATTTAAGTATTTAAATTATTTTTTATCGATCCAAATACTTAATGTTCTCATCCTTATATTTTTAGGTGCTTCAATTACAACATCGACTTAATTCTGTTATTAAATAACACATATCGTACTTAGGTAATTTTGAAAATTAAAAAAATTAAATTATATATATATTAAAAATGTCCAAATATTTCTCAAATCTTAAAAATACCTCAAAACTTTGAAAATCCTTATTCCAATCCTTATGTCTACACCCATCACCATTGTTGCCACCGACTGAACCTCCACCCGGTGAACAACCAAAAACGACGACCCAGAACCCATAAACCACATCTAACAATCAATGAAGAGAATGTCAAAGTTAAACCCCAAATGAAGAAATCACGATACCTAAGTGACCCGATGATACCTAAGTGACCCGACGATACTTCCGACAACGAGAGCAACAACAACCGACAAAAAAGATGTCAAGGGTGACGAAGGTTACTATAGCCATGCTTGATACAAAATGTTATTATATATATCAGAAAATCATTTTACATCCGCATAAAAGTGTTTTTTTAAAAAACTTTTTTTTTAAAAAGATTAATAAAAAAGAATTTCGTTCTTAATATGCATAATATAAAATAAATATCTAAATTATAATTTTTATTTAAGTATTTAAATTATTTTTTATCGATCCAACTACTTAACGTTCTCATCCTTATATTTTTAGGTGCTTCAATTACAACATCGACTTAATTCTGTTATTAAATAACACATATCGTACTTAGGTAATTTTGAAAATTAAAAAAATTAAATTATATATATTTTAAAAATGTCCAAATATTTCTCAAATCTTAAAAATACCTCAAAACTTTGAAAATCCTTATTCCAATCCTTATGTCTACACCCATCACCATTGTTGCCACCGACTGAACCTCCACCCGATGAACAACCAAAAACGACGACCTAGAACCCATAAACCACATCGAACAGTCAATGACGAGAATGTCAAAGTCAAACCCCAAATAAAGAAATCACGATACCTAAGTGACCCGATGATACCTAAGTGACCCGACGATACTTCCGACAACGAGAGCAACAACAACCGACAAAAAAGATGTCAAGGGTGATGACGAAGGTTACTATAGCCATGCTTGATACAAAAGGTTATTATATATATCAGAAAATCATTTTACATCCGCATAAAAGTGTTTTTTTAAAAAACTTTTTTTTAAAAGATTAATAAAAAAGAATTTCGTTCTTAATATGCATAATATAAAATAAATATCTAAATTATATTTTTTATTTAAGTATTTAAAATTTTTTTTATCGATCCAAATACTTAACGTTCTCATCCTTATATTTTTAGGTGCTTCAATTACAACATCGACTTAATTCTGTTATTAAATAACACATATCGTACTTAGGTAATTTTGAAAATTAAAAAAATTAAATTATATATATTTTAAAAATGTCCAAATATTTCTCAAATCTTAAAAATACCTCAAAACTTTGAAAATCCTTATTCCAATCCTTATGTCTACACCCATCACCATTGTTGCCACCGACTGAACCTCCACCCAGTGAACAACCAAAAACGACGACCCATAACCCATAAACCACATCGAACAGTCAATGAAGAGAATGCCAAAGTCAAACCCTAAATGAAGAAATCACGATACCTAAGTGACCCGATGATACTTCCGACAGCGAGAGCAACAACAACCGAAAAAAAAGATGTCAAGGGTGACGAAGGTTACTATAGCCATGCCAACGGTGATAAGGTTATGGTTAGAATTTAGGGTTGCATTTAAGAATTTTTAGGAATTTGATATTTTTTTATAATTTTAGAAAAAATAGTTTTTTTTTTATAAATATAACAATTTTAAAGTATTTTTTAAAAATAAAAATTTGAAAACTATATGATCACGACATGTGTCATTTAATAATATGTTTTAACGTTTGTTATCATCATCAAGGAGTGTAAAAAGTATAATGATAAAAACATTATACATATAAATTAATTTAAAACATTTAACAAAAAATATAGTTTAAACATATATTTTATATTAAGTCTTATTAATCAATACTAAACTTATTATCAAAGAGAGAGGGAGGTGTCAACTCTAGAGATTGTTGACACATCCTTAAAACAGGTAAGCAGAAAGAGAACAAAATGAAAATGAAAATGAAAGAAAAATGGTGGGGGCCAGTATTACAAAACGTGCTTGTTCAGTCCATGCACATAAATAAAGTTAACAAATCTTTCTGGCTATATCCTCGTCTCCATTCCTTCTCTCTTTTTGCTGTTTCCGGTGAAACTGTAGCTCAACAATCTAACATGAATAACGGTATTATACCCAAGTTCTTCTCTTGTTGAGAGAGATCAATTTTATCCAACATCCTTTTCTCAAAACCACTTAAAAACCTTTTCTTTTCTTTTTTTATAAATGGCAGCCATTGCTTCTCTATCTGTGCTGCCTTCAGCACTTGGTTTCCCAAATGAACGCCCTTCTAACACTTCCCAATCTTGTTCGCTTGTGTGAGTTTCCCTTGTTCTTCTTCGACGTGTTCTTGGGGATTGAATAATAGTAGGGCTGGTACTCACCGTTTTGGGACGCTAGTGGTGGCTGCTTCTGGGGATTATTATGCCACTCTTGGAGTACCTAAATCTACTTCCGGTAAAGAAATTAAGGCCGCTTATCGTAGATTATCTCGTCAGGTACTTCATTCAGTTCAATTGTAGAGTTTTTTTTTCCTCTTAGATTTTGGAAGTTTGTTTATTTGTTTTGCATTTCCTTTCTGGGTTTTGTTGCTGGCTTGTTTTCATGTTGAAATAGTTAAAGATAGCCCAATAAGATGTTGGGTTTTTTTTTTTGGGGTTTTGAGTTATGATAAAGAGGCAATTTTTCCTAGCAGAATCCGAAAATCTAACCGAGACCTCAAGGCTCAGGTTTTAACTGTTGGAGTTCGCGGATATGA